CAGGTCCCTTCTGACCCTACTAACTATGAAACTATGAATGTGTAGCTGCACCCAATGAGTATCTGTATCACAAATTTGTCACCCAAGTTAGCATCCCTCTTGGGAATCATCAGAGAGGGCATAGGTTGGAAGGGTATGAGAAAATAGAAGCATCCTCTTACCCTATATAGTACAAGTGCCTCTTGTACAGTTGAGGCAAATTAGTGGAAAAAGCTGTTCATACTTGGGACTCGAGCCACCAGGCCATCAGTTCAGTATCTTTTGCCAGCACTGGTTGACAGAGCCTTTCTTAAAGGGAGTCTAATTACAGTCTCAGAAAAGAAAAGAAAAGACTATTCAGAAACGTCTTGCAAAAAGAGAATTAAAAATATGAAAATCATCATACACTATACACCAAGTGTAATACACAATTTAATTTGGACTCTTATTTACCTAAGTAAATGTACATCATTGTGGTCATGTGGTATCTAACAAATTGTGCAACTTAGCTTTTGAATTTACCTTTGAGTTTTGTTCCCTTGGTACATGTGATCTCAGATAAGAGGCTGGTGGGCTGTGTCTGTCTTCTTTTTACTTAGATGCCTTAGATGGTGCTTCTTGGGAACTGCACACACAGATGTAAAGCTTTAAAAGAGCAGGACAGATGGTGTTAATGACACCAAGAACAGAAGAGGAACTTTTTCAGCAAGGTGACCCATGATGACTGAACATTTTTGTTGCACAGTAATAAATGGGAGAAAAGTGCACACTGTCCTTGCTGGTGTTTTGTTTAGAATCAGGTATGATTGTGGCAGCCAGGACTTTAGCACCTCAAGGTCTAAACCGCAGGGAATGTGTTTCTGAGCAAGACAACACAGAAGTCTCCAAAAACTGTACTTTGCTATTGCACACGAATTGTTACCCCAGCATGAGCTCTTGGGAAATCAGCTAGTTATCATCGCTGCATTACTACCCAAAGGTGCCTCATTCTGGGTTAAACTCCCAGCAGTTGACAGTAAGGTGAGAGAGAGAGAAATGTGCTGTTGTTTTTAAATAATCATAAGAAAGTTTCACTCATGTCCTGTAATTTATATTGTGAAACCATTTCCAGAT